CATGGAAAGTCCACCAGATGAGAAAATGCAATATTTGCCCCTCGTTTCCAGTTCTTCCACTCAGTTCTGCCCTTTTGCCCAGAAGCAGAGACAGACGATGTCTAAAAGCAAGTAGACTAAGCGGAGACTTAAGGGTGCACCCAGAACCAATATATAGCAACGAGTAAAGGGTACATTACACCTGATTCAAAATGCCTCCTCTGCCTGCCCTGAGGAACCTCTTCTGCTGTCCATTAACAGATCAAATATCATTCTCATTCAGAATCAACAGCCTCCAGCCTCCCTGTGTAACTGCACTTTTACACCCAAGCCTCAAGTGGATCAGTGCTTCTTCAGCCATTAGCACTGACAAGGCCCAGATGAGTATCAAGAAATGGCCTCACAGTAGAGAGATAGCACATACAACATTCTCATTATGACACAAGAAGCAAATGCAGCATTTAAACTGCTCCCTTTAAAACGTTAAACAGTGCATTCCTCTACTGACAGCTTGTTCTCTTGCTTACAGTTCCATCAGCACGTACAGTATATTGTTCATTTTACAGCAATAATAAAAAAGTACTAACAAACTTTTTATAATATAATATCAATATAGCTTGTGAGCCACTTCCTGACATGAGCATTTCCACTGAAGCCTAGGGTTACTCATATGAGCAAGGGCTGCAGGATTAGATCTTTAGGGTGGGGTTCTACCTGGAAAATTGCATAGGAGAGTTCCATGTTTATTTACCAATTTGTGGTTTCCATAGCAAAGGTGTTTAGTTTCCAAGTAAAAATAATAAAATATACGTTCTTAAATAGCTACCAACCCTGCACCCTTACACCTCATGGCCAGTAATAAACGTTCTGTTGAGCAAATTTAGCCCTCAGTGACACCTGGGTAACCCCATTAGAACTCTCTGGGTTTGGTATGGATGTAATGGAAGGCATAACTGGAAGGTACTACACTTGCATGGATGTAACTGAGAGTTTAATTTGGTCTGTAGATCCTTTGTTGGTGGTTATCATGTAGGAAATGGAAAGATCTGAGTTTGCCTGTCAGAGCCGAGGGTGAGCTCGCAGGACTAGCAGCAAAAGAAAATCTCTCCCCCATCTTTTTATACTTGCAAACTAAATACATTTGGAAATCAGTCAGACACAATGAATATAGAATGTCATGATGCCATTCTCACAAATTAAACTACACGTCCAACTGTTATCTTTCGCTGCTCATCTGTGCTTCAAAATATTTTAATTTTCTTTTGCAATTTGCACAATAGTTCTCTGGCTTTGAGGGTTTTGAAATGTATTGAAAGTTCTGAAAATAAGGAGGACTGATGGACTGTATTAATAGGACTTTAACCTCTCTCCAGGGCTGGTTCTTATTTTTCTCAAACCCTGTCATCCAATCCCACTTGAAACATAGCTCAGGAGAGATTATGTGACTATGGACGTCATCACAGCTAACAATTGTGCATTCTGCTTTGTGTTTTTCCCTCTTTTCTCCCTCCCCCCACCTAAGTTATCCTAAGAGGCAGTTGCTGACTGGCAAAGTGAAATGTTACCTTTATCACTTCTCTACAGCACCACCAGTATTACAGGTTGTCAGTCTAAAAAAAGCAGCATTGTTAAACTGTGCAGAGAGGGAATTGCTATAGAATCATAGACTCACCAAATCAGAGAATCTAGAGATGGAAAGGACCTATTAGATGTTGACAAAAAAATGCTCTGCAGTTAATTTTAGACAACTCCTGCAGGGCTATGTACACACACATGCACAAAAACACACACACACACACACACACACACACACACACACACACATTTGCAGCACAGCCAAAAACACATGCACCAAACCCCTTAACAAAAACAGGACAATGCAGGGGAAACAAGAGATTGCTCACTGCTCAGACATCACTAGTGACGCAGATCTCTAAGTGGGTCAGATGGAAAGTGATGTTAATGAGTTTATATAGAAGCAACTTAAAAACAGCAATGAAGGTGAAGAAAAGAGAAAGAGAGAAATGTGTGTGTGTGTATGGGCGGGCGGGTTAATGAATTAACGACTAAACACCTGTCTTTTACTTTCCTATACAGAGAGGTTTGTTTCCTAAGTAGATGAGATATTAAACAAATGGGGAGGAACAAGGGAAAAGTTCTATTGGGGATTGTAGTGGTGTGGCCACTTACTGCCTCATAAGTGCCCCCTTGTGGATAGAAGTTGTCCTACGGCACCCTGCCTCCGTGACCAGTCTGTCTCTTCAGGGGCCCTTTAAAAACTCACAGTTCACCAAGTTATCCAAGTATCAGAGGGGTAGCCGTGTTAGTCTGGATCTGTAAAAAGCAACAGAGAGTCCTGTGGCACCTTTAAGCCTAACAGATGTATTGGAGCATAAGCTTTCGTGGGTGAATGCCCACTTTGTCGGATGCATGTCAAGTTATCCAAGCTATCCCCAGAAGGGATCCTGTTTATTTAGTCCTCAGGTGCCCATGGGCCTTCCAGGCCCCAACCCTAGTTCAGTACCAAGTCTTTGAAAACAAAACACAAATGTATACATTCTTTGCCCCAGTTTCAACTGTGCACAGCTCCCTCCTCTCTGAGGGGCTGGTGTCAGTCTCTGCCAGCCCTCACTGCCTGGAGAGCTTTCACCTGCTTCTGGTAGTCTCAATCACTCCCTCAATCCCCTTAGCCCTTCCTGCTGCCTTTTCACCTAGCAGCGCTTGATTCTCCTCAGGTGGGGCTCATCATGTAGTCAGGGCTGACTTAAATCAAGGCTCTCCAGCCCCAGGGCATGCCACCCTGTTACAGGGATATTTTAAAAAATCATGACCAAAAAGACTCTATGATAAAATTTGATTCTTGGGGAAAACTCATATTTGCTGGCCCTTGACTACCCCGTAACATACCAGCATTTTACAACTGTTTCCTTACTGCCATTCCATCGCTATGTTTTACTATTTGAGGACAGTCTCAGAAGCAAGAGTTTGATATGGAGACTGCTTGCCATATTTTGGGAAACTGTAAGAGGAACTAACAGCTTCAGATGGCTTACATTCTTTGCAAAATGAAACAAATTAGAGGTACTGTAATTAGTTCTGCTTTTCTATCTCCTTTCAAAGAAAGAACACACTGTCTCCTGCCGCCTTTTCATAAAAAGATACAGTTACACTGCATAACGTCTCTCCTGGCATAAACATTTGCTTTCCATTTTAAATATTCCCTTAGGGAGACAACATTCCCTCCCGTGGAAAAAAAATCCCATGGAAGGAGAAAAGAGAAATCAAATATTACAGTTAGCCTTGAACTCATGGAATACAAAAAGCATCAATTTATCTGGCAGGGGGTGGGGGAGAAATCCCTTTGAAAGAACATAGGAAATGCACAGAATGGAGCTGCATAGGCGTCGTGTGGCCCTGGTGTGGTTCCACTGCCTGGTGGAAGGGGGTGGGAGAAGTTCTGGGGGGACATGTACTTATCCTGCCAATGCACTGGAGCCACTTGCTCTTCAATACCATTGACAGCGTGACTGCAAGTGACAGCTGCCCCTTCAGCTTCAGAAGCTACCAGACTAGTTCCAGTTCTAGTTGTACAGAAAACTGTGTAGGACGGTGTTTTCTCAAGTGGATGGTGCACCCCCAAAGAACTAGCCAGAAGGGCATGGACAGATCTGTCAGTTGTGTCCAGAGTCTCAGCTTTTTTTTTTTAAAGTATGGTCTGATTCTGATTGACAGCACTTCACACTCCTCTGGCAGGGTAAAGAGGCTTTAAAGAGTGAGTGAATTATTGTTACATCCACTTTAAGGTCCCTTTACGTGGCCACAATGATGTAAAGTAACTTCAAGTGTAAATAAGAATCAGGGCCTAAGGCCTTGTCTACATGGGGGAAATTGACTGGCATAACTATTCCAGAATAAGTATTCCACTATTGCTATGCCAGTATAATTTTGCTATTCTGGCATAACTTTCCCTAGTGGATACTTTATGCTCGCATAAAGTCATATTTTTCAGAATAGTGTGTCCCCATGAGAAGTTATTCCAGAATAGCTATAGTAGAACAGTTATGCCAGAGTAGCTGTGCCTGGCAATTTTCCTATGCAGACAAGCCCTAAGTCTCTAGCTGTTATCATTGTGGAGAAAATCTTTAAAGGTTTGAACCTAAATAGGTTTGAACCTAAATCTTTAAAGGTTTGAACCTAAATAGAGACTTCAGTCTCAATTTTTAGAGAGCCTGAAACAAGAGCTGTGAGGTGTGAGCTTTCTCATTCATTTTCATACTTGCTAACAAAGATGCCACTAAGGATACTCTAAATGGAACTGTGGTTTATTATTCCACTGCTCATCAAAGCATGTAAGAAAGAAGAGCAACTATTAAATTGTTTCCCCTCTTCTGAGTGGCAGCAGATTTCAATGTCTTATAAGTCAGTTTCCTGTAGAAGGAGAAATCAGTGCTTCTTAGTGTACTTTATTTATGTGCATTATAAATACCAGTCCTCGAACAGAGGTGATCACAAACAGCGTGCAGGCAAACTGCTCTTTCAGAAATCTCAGCCTAAACACCAATGTCCAGTTTCCAGGAAGCACATCTGCCCCAAGAATTGACTCTAGTTAGAGAGTTTAAGGAAGAAAGCAAACTCACTTTCTGTTTGCAACTGCTCCCCCAAGAAGAAGCTGCATCACACAACTAACAAGGCAGCATTTCTTCAAAGACTGTAAACTGCTCAAATGCTAAGAAAAAGAAGATGTAAGACTATATGTACCAGCCTCACCTGCTGACTCTTGCCAAAATAGTATTATGAAGATCAACACAAGCATTTCTCAAAACCGGGGGGAGCATGAAGGACTAGCCAGGGAGGGAGGGTTGCATGTTGTATATATTAAAATGTGTAGGCCTTTAATGTCACATGACAGGATTGCTGGGAGGGCCTGATTGATTTCATTTTCCTGATGGAGTGTTTATTTTTCAAAAATCTGAGCAACACCAGTGAGGGTGAACACTGACTTGCTCAACATTTGCTTATAGAGATTTTCTACCTCTTCGTTACAACATGAGTCCCTTACATCTGCTTTACCTTCGCCTCTTCCCATTTTTTCCACTGGTAAGTAGCGCCCACCCTTTTACTTTTTCTGGAATTTTCTCGTGTGCAATCCACTATGCAGTTTGCATGTGCAATCCACTATGCAGTTTACCAATACATGAGATGATGCTGTGTACCACATAACCAAATGTTGGAGTTTCACTGTTTTGCGCTGTCTTCATTTCTGCAGGATATACCACCAAAAAGGTACAGGGATTTGAAGGAGGTGGAGCTCTTTATATTATGCTATTGTATCATGCAATTTCACTACCCCATAAAAATGTTGGAAGATCACTAATTGCACGTGGACTTGAACAGCACAACTGACTGGTAAAGAGATCCAATTCCAAAGAACCCTCTGAAACAGAATATGATGGAAGCAGTTACTTGACTGAACAGTAGAAAGCTGAGTTAAATTTAAAAGTTATTTGTGAACAGGTGCTCTTGCTTTGCATCACTAGCGTTGACAGTAGGTGTCCCAGTAAGAATGTCATTGTGTCCTATAAGCTACCCTGCCAAAGGCTATTATTAACTCTGAAGTGACACACAGAAGAGGTCTGATCACTTGCAGAGGTTACCAAGTAGAAATGAGTCTCCGCTTTGGATTAGTTCAACATTCCTAAAAAGAAAACCTAGTTCAAGAGCCTGGAAAAATGAGAGGACAAATTCTGAATTGAATTACACTGTTGTAAGTCCAGAGGGACACCACTGATTTCAGTGGAGTTGCTCCAGGTTCACACCACCATAACCGTTCAAAATCTAATCCTATTCTAGTTATTTTATTTTATGGACAACCCTCCTCCCCCACCCCGCCAGCCACTTTGTTTTAAAAATGTAATTAACATAATTTTTGCAGTAAAAGTGAACTATAGTCACATAAATGCATTGGTATTAAATTTGAAATCTGTTTTGCTTTGAATTAGCTGTGCATTTAAAGACCTTTTCCTGGTTTGACATACTATTATGGGGGATCAATTATTTTATTTCTAAGAGGCTCTGTATAATAAGGAGCTAAGCTCAAGATAATATTTGCTTATGGTAAAGGGTAATGCCACTGAGTAAGGTTAAAAAAAACGGATGTTTATAAACCTTTAAAATGGTTTCTGCTCTGCTCTTGCAGATTATACCTGTGAGAATATAATAGGTTTTCACTGTATCTCGAGGGCTTTAGCTCTTCACAGGAAGCAGTACATATAGAGTGCATACCTCACATTGAACATAAAGTACACGCTGTACATGCCCACAAGAGAGTTCAGATTGAAATCTCTCACAATTGGACTAAGTCTCAAGTTGTAAACAACTAACAAACAGAAGCTCGCATTGTACCCACAGGTACCCACATTGAACCCACAGGAAGCCTTGAATTAATACAGTAAGGCCTCAGTATTAAGAAAAACAACAAGCAGATAGTCTGAACACTTCTAGCCTGATTGAATGTTTTTAATGAAGTGACAAAACATTTCCAAATATTCTGTTCTGTCCTCAATTGGGTCTTGCGTGACACTTTGGATGTAGTCAGAGATTCTGTTTTGGTGATCCAAAGCCTTAGTCAGGTATGCAGAGGGGATCTTTTCTGGATGTTATTACCTGTGTAGTAGGTCCTAGCCGGGGCTCGACCCTTCCGGGTAGGAGGGGAGCCACACCGACTCACTGCTGTGGGAACAAGCAGTCAGTTAGTCCCGAAACTCCGGCTCTTTGGTGCAGGGTCGGAGTAACCACAGTTAAAGCTCAGGCCCTTGACTGCAGGGGGCTGAGCGAGCAAGCAGTTCAGGAGCCCAGGCCCTGGATCAGGGCGGGGCAAACACAGTTAG